AGGGTCTGAGAAGAGAGTTTCGAACTTACACTCTCTCAGCACCCTAACACTATTTTATTTAGATATATTTGAATAATTACAAGGAGGCCCTTAGTTGGGCAAGAATTTACAAGGAACTTAATATTGACAGGATGGGCCCAGAATAAGGCCCATTACTGAAAAGAAACATAAATAACAAGAAAAAATAAACAACCTATGGGCCATTCGGCCCATCTTCTCTACAAAATGGTATAAAAAAAAATTGATTGCCATTTATTTTAGACCCATAAGAATGATTATTATCAAATCCATATCCATTCAATCCATTATGAGGGACCCCATACCTTCTGGACTGATCTCTTTGTGAGAAACTTGTTTGCTCCTGCATCGTCCAACTCTTTGGTTAACAAGTTCTTTTTTGGATAAGTAAGCAACAGATTTCCACATTATCAATTATAAAGAAAAAATGTGCACACAGCATACATACACCTTTTAGAGTGCATAGTAACTACTATCTCTCCCTATACTTGTTAATTTTACTATTGAGCCCAAAAGAACTGGTTTCTAGTTACCCCTTGTTTGGCTAGTGCATCAGCCATGCTTTTAGCTGTTCTTGGAACCCACTGAACTTTCACTTTCATACTTCTACTCAGCCATCTAAGTTTCTTGAGTTCATTTCTATATGCTGACTCAACATTTTCATAGTTCATCATCCAAGTAATTACCACCTTAGAATCCCCTTAAAATAGTAATTTTCTTATATTCGTGTCACATGTCCACTGCACTCCTTCGAAAGCTGCCTTCAGCCATTAGTCCCTCACACCAGAAGGCCCAAAGAGTAAATAAATTACATTTCCTTCATCTTTAAAAGCTCCTCCCACAACTAGTGGCCCCAGGTTCCCCAAACTACTGTTGTCAAAGTTAAGTTTAATAAAGCCCCTATTTGGTGGTAACCAACTTCTTTATAATTACATACAAGGTTTAAATTATTGACAGGACATGCTCGATATTGGCCATATTGTATCATATCTTTGAAGGATCAATATAGGATACAAAGGAAATAGGTGGTATCATCTTTTTTCCATCGTATCGGCCCATATCGGCCATGTATTGGGCATATCGATAGCATATCGGTTGATATGGTGTGAAAAAGATACATGAAAAAAATAAAAAATAAAAAATAGGGGGAAAGCACCTTCTTTCCCCGAACAAGCATGAATCATCAATGTTTTTGAAGATTTTTCAAATATGGAAAATATTACGAAAATAGGTCATTTTTTTCACTTTTTCTCATAATATCTTTTGGTTTCTTGTTTTCTTTTGCTTGAATGCTTGCAAATGTTTAAATCTATCTTGGCCTACATTTTTTTCTGTTGAAAATCACAGTTTTTTTGTGTTATGAGTAGATCTATGAAAATTTTATGAAGAAATTTGGGAAAATACAAAATAACAATAAAAATGAAAAATGTATTTCTTTTATCTACCTATAAAGACTTAATATGTTTTAGATCTATGGATGATCTATCATATCCATAGATCAATTGAAATTTCTTATTCAATAATTATTTTTTATTTTTTGAGAATTAAAAATAATAATAATAACTAATTATATCTTTATGACCTAATCATAAGGATTAAGAATATATTGTAGATCTATAGATGATTTATCATATCTACAAAGCAATTAAAATTTCTTCGTCAATATTTTTTTGAATATATTGTACAATGTTTATTTATTTTTTTATTTTTTGGAATTTTTGAAATTAAAAGAAATAGATAGTAACTATTTAAATAAGAAATAATTATTAATTATATTTTCACTTAGAAGTTGTGTCCGTGCATGTTTTATGGTTGGATAGGATAGTTGGGCTTTTCCCATCCCGTAAAACCTAAGAATTATAATTAAGAATAGGTTTTTTTAATGGAAATGATACTTGACCATGATGTATTTCTTCATAAAACCCATTAAAATATATTAATTTAATGTACGTATACCTCACTAAGGCCTTATATAGTGTTATTGATGTATTTTTATGATTTATTAAAATGTTTATAGTGTTTCCATGTGCTTCTTAATTTTTCTCTGATACATGTGTATCCGAGGCATATCCCGATACATCTCTTAAAATTGTCTTTTTGATACACTTGGCATTTTCGATACTTTGAACCTTGATTACATATTTCTTTGTTGATGATCTTGTCATTTCCCTCCACTTCCTAACAATGCCATTGGTTGAGAAAGGAGAGAATGCCTTCAAAAATTTAACCCACTGAACCTCTTTAATTGTGATACAATCAATTATAGCCTCCTTTGTTCCTTTAAAATTCTTGCTTTCCTCTCTCCCATACTGTCAATAGAAGTTTTGCCCTTGTGCATCTCGGCATAGCTCTTCTCCTCTTCTTATGAGAATCTACATGGTGCATGTATTGTCTCTCTACGATATTCTGTTTGTTAATTTAGGGGTTCAATTTGTTATTTTACTTGCTTCTCCTTTTGTATTTCTCTATTGGTGCCATAAAATTTTTGTGTTTGACAAATATTTATTTCTTCCACATATATTGTAGTTTTATGTGTATACTTTAGATAAATGCATGTTTTTACTCCTCTTAACGATCTTGCAGATTTTCAATGATAAGATGTTGAAGATCAATGTTAAGAGATGCATACATACAGCCATTAAACTTCGAAAAAAATACTTGTGCAAGGTTAGTGCTTGATCTTGTACCTTATGCATTTAGCTATGATTGCAACGTCTTGCATAAATAGCTTGAGCTTAATCTTGCTTTTTCCGTTTATTACTTTTTTCTTCCACCTGTATTTACTTGAATTTCAGGATGTTTGCTTTGTATCATTTCATACTTACAGTTGTTGTCTTAGAGAGAAAAGAGAAAAGCATGTTTTTGTTCTCCTCTTCATGCTATGGCAGTGCCACTCATCTTGACTAGGAATTAATCCCAGTATTTAAAACATCCAAAGTATGAAAACTATAAGGCCTATATGATTACATTGTAATTGAAATTTGTGGGTCATCTACAAAATTTGCATTCAAGGGGTCATTGTTTGGCTTTGTGAATAGGTAGATTAATCCTATTTAGTTCTAGGTTCGAAGTATGAAGAGGAGAAGAAGGGTTCGGCCAGGAGAGGTGAACCTTACTAGAGGTGGGACACTCGACTTAACTTAAACTTATAGTGAATAAGCTGAATTACAAAAGACATTATTGTCCCTTACTAGAGGTGGGACACATAACTTAAACTTGAATAAAATAGACCATTCACTTTTAACTAGATAGACAAAAGACCAAAATACCCCTGTACTGTCAACTCTAACACTCCCCCTCAAGCTAGAGAATATATGTCATATAGTCCCAGCTTGTCACATATGTAATTTACTCTGCCCCGAGACAGCCCCTTTGTAAATAGATCTGCCCACTAGCTTCCTGAACTCACATGAGATGTAGTTATCACTCCACTAATCACTTTTTCTCTTACAAAGTGGAAATTGACTTCAATATGCTTTGTTCTCTCATGGAAGACTGGATCAGAAGATATGTGTACAACAACTTGATTATCACAGTATAACCTCATGGGTCTGTCAATTGAGAACCCCATCTCTTGTAATAAATTCTTCAACCATACTAGTTCACATGTAGTATGAGCCATAGCCCTGTACTCAGCTTCTGCACTGAAGGGACGGGAGATCCATCATATGGATGGCCGAACCCTGCAAGAAGGTTGGACGAAATTTCAAAAAAAATTTCTCTCCCATCCGGGAATCGTATTCCATAATTTAGAAAACTGTGTTTTCAAGGTTCGTTCTTGAATAAAAAACAGACCAGATCTGAAACCAAAAGAGAAGAGAGGGATATACCTGATACAAAGTAACAATAACTCCCAACGTAGGTGTTCACACCCAAAGAGAAGACCAAAACCCGCCTCCACTGAAGATGACACAGCGTATGGTGAGGCAGGATCAACATGATGGTTCTTCAGCAATAACCTAAATTCTTCAATAAGAATCGAACAAGAGCTGGTGAGCACGACTTTGAATTGTTTCTTCCAACAAGAAACAATATCAAGAACCTTTCTTGATCAGCTCCAAGGTGGAAATCGAACTGGGTAGGGGCGGCAAGAACTAGGGAAGAATTCTGCAGGTTGCAAGTGTCTATAAACTGAGGAATTTGCCCCCTATTTATAGCCTACTTTGGATCAACTTCCTAATCCAATTAGGAGAGAGTTTCTTGATCCAAATCTGATATTTGGATCTAGACTCTCAAATGGATAAGACTTATCTTATCCTTCAACTAATCCTAATCAGGTTATAAATCAGATTTCGCCCCCTTTTAATTAATTGACTTAAGCCTAGTTTGAAATGGGCTTTAGGCCCATTAAATCACATCGCTCACTCACCCTTTAATTTGTTGGCTAACTTGGCTCTTTTTGTATGGCGTGGGACCCTAACATTGATCTACACATCAGCCACATGGGTTCAGCCTAGCCTCTGTTACAAGGCCTAGCCGAATTCATTGTAGGACATAGTGAACCCCTAAGTCCATCACCACGGGCTCTTAATGGGCCCAACATTTACACTAAATAGTCATTAGGTCCAGCCATCTTATGAAGGCCCAAGGACTGTGGGAAGATGCAAGATTATCCCATCAGGTAATACCTCCAATGGTCTTACACTTAACCTCTCAGCCCATAATGATCAAACACTACCTGACAAGAGAGGACCTCTCCCTCGGTTGCAAGGTACAATGCTGCACTCTCTACTCACATGGATCCCTAGAATTAACACCTTTTGCAAACAATTTAAAACCATAATATATATGTATATCTCTATATAAATATATTTTGCAAAACAAATTTCAAACACATTTGAAACCCATTGCCGGTAGTTTAGGTTTCCATCAGAGAGTGCATTCCTCGATCATTCACTTTGTCCGACAAAGGGGTTGATCCTGTCACTATGATCACCCACTCAGGTGAATTCTCAAACTATCCCAACATACCCAGGTTTTGACCCCCTCTAAGGATCTCACTGATTGGCATATCAAAGACAGTCCAATCCGACACCTAGTGCAGTACCATAATCGAGTCTATGGGTCAGATGTAACATTCCAGTTTTTCCCATCTATCTCCAAGGTGTAGAGCAATACTGGAATTTGGTCCAATTCAAGGTTTCAAGCAAACCCACACTGCATGTACCTCAGGTCCCACCCTGGCAGCTGAGACAAGCCACCCCAACCAACTTGGCGGCACATCAGTGTCAGCCTTGGCAGGATAAATCTCCCTAGATCTATCCAACAGCTGTGAAGATTCTAAACTAACACGAGTCTGATAAGTGTCCAGTTTAAGGGTATTACACAGAAACACGCCAATAGAACATGAATCAATTATGCACTTTATTCATTTACAATAAATGACAATAAGTACATCAATCTAATTGGAGCTAAGGGCATACACTGTCTAACAGCTCCCACTTGCACTTAGGTCCAATCAGGTACAAATCGGAGTCCCAAACTATCCATGTGTTTCTCAAACACTTTGTGTTAGTGGCTTAGTCAATGGGTTTACCACATTCTCCGCTGATGCTACCTTTTAACATCAATCTCCCGTAGATCCAATGTTGTCACACAACAATGGAATGGGTGATATGCTGAATTCCAAATTCCAGAATGAACACCTTCATCCATTAGGCAGCCTCACTTACGACAATGTGCTCGGCTTGGGTTGTGGATTGTTATTCTTACTACTTAGGACCCCATCGTAAAGATGTAACCAGATGTAGACATTCTACCATCTGGGTCTGACTGGAAGTCGGTATCAGTATACCCAACGATCTGTAGTGAACTACTATCGAATACCAGACAAAACTCTTTTGTCCTTCGAAGGTATTTTAGAATGTGTTTCACAGCTGTCCAATGCTCCTGGCCTGGGTTAGACTAGTATCTACTTACCACACTCACAGCCTAAGCAATGTCTAGCCGAGTGCACAGCATGGCATACATGATGCTCCCTATGGCTGAGGCATAGGGAACCTTTCTCATGCCCTCAATCTCCTCGGGAGTCTTGGGAGACATGCCCTTGGAGAGAGTGACTGTGCCTGAAAGGAACATTTCCTTTCTTGGAGTTCTCCATACTGTATCTCGTGACAATCTTGTCAATGTAAGCAGATTGGGATAATCCTATTATCCTCTTCGATCTATCTCTGTAGAGTCGAAGTCCCAAGATGTAGGAGGCTTCTCCAAGATCTTTCATGGAGAATTGCTGTGAAAGCCACACTTTCACCATAGTTAACATCCCTACATCATTCCCAATGGGTAGGATGTCATCTACATACAGAACCAAAAACGTAACCTTATCTCCTACTGTCTTCCTGTAAATACAGGGCTCATCCGGATTTTGCTCAAAATCAAACTGTTTGACGATAGAGTCAAACTGGATATTCTAGCTCCTAAAAGCTTGCTTAAGTCCATATATGGATCGATTAAGTTTACATACCATGGGTTCCTGACCTGCAGGTATGAAACCTTGCGGTTGCTGCATATAGATATCTTCAGTAAGATCTCCTTTTAAGAAAACGGTTTTGGCATCCATTTGCCAAATCTCGTAGTCATGGTATGCTGCTATAGCTAGCAGGATCCTAATGGATTTAAGCATGGCCACGGGAAAAAAGGCTTCCTCATAGTCGATTTCCTCTTTCTGAGTGTACCCTTTCGCCACAACATGCTTACCGGGAGGGAGAGTAGAAAGTTCCCACGTGTGATTGTGTTGTAAAGCAGACAATTCATCTTCCATTACTTGCCACCACCCTGGAGAGGTAAGAGCTTCCTGAATAGTTTTGGGAGTGGAAACAAAGGATAGCAGGGATATAAAATGGTGATGGAAAGCAGAAAGGTGAGCAACTGAAACATAATGAGAAATAGGATGAGATGTATAACTACGTTTACCTTTCCGCAATGCAATAGAAAGATCAAGGTTTGAGGGAGGAGGTGCAACCACAGGATCTGTCAACGAGGACAGAATTGGAGGAGGGGCCAGTGCTCTTCTGTGAGTATACATTTGTCTGATTGGTGGCCTCTCAGTAGTAACCTGCACTAGAGAGGGAGGGGATGGAATAAGAACCACAGGAAGGGAATCTGCAACCGGAACAGGAACCACAAGAAGGGGGTCCTCAACTGGAACTGAAGGAATGGAAAGATCCATCGTATGGACGCACGGATAAAGCGGAATAGAATGGGCGAATTTCAAAAATTTCTTACTTCCTACAACTGGGAATCGCATTCCCTATTTTAGAAAACTAATTTTCAAGGATCAATCTTGAATCAAGAACCGAACCACATCTGAAACAAAACGGTAGGAGAGGGAAATACCTGATATGGAGAATTAGTATCCCCCAACGAAGGTGTTCACGCCCAGAAAAGTCACCAAAGACTGCTCCCACTGAAGATGGCACAGTGTAGGACGGAGCAGAATCAGCAATGTTGTTCGCAAGAACTGGATCCTTCGCAAGAACCCATTGGACGGCAGGTGAGCACAACTTCTTTTCAATTCTTTCACAAAGAACTGAAACCAAGAACGCTTCTTGATGACTCCTACGTGAGTGGAGACGAACTGCTAATGGCGGTGGCGGCAGGGAGGCGGTAGAGAGAAATTGGCACAGTCTCACTGTATGCTAATTTCTTTCTTCTGTGTTGTACCTATA